ACACATGCTCATACTCACAAACACAAATCACAAACCCTACAATAGATCTGCTTTACTCTCAATAGGAAAATAGTACCATTTATTTCATATACAATTGGGGCTCTGGTAGCATAGTGGTTACGAATCGGGCTGCGAACCTCAAGGTCAGCAGTTCAAAACTACTAACTGTTCTGTGGGAGAAAGATGAGTCTTTCTGCTCCCGTAAAGATTTACAGCTTTGGAAACCCTGTACAGGGTCGCTATGAGTCGGAACCGACTCTACGGCACATAACAACATCAATTACATATAATATGTGACGTTGTGGGCTAATGCGCTGGACTGTGAAGTCGGTTTGGACCATAAGGTGAGTGGTTCAAGTTCAACAACTGCTCCTCAGAAACTCTATACAGGGTTGCTTTGGATTGGGACCAACTCAATGACACATAACAAGAACAGCAAAGTGAATTAGAGCTCACTGTATTGACTTGAAAAATATAGGGAAAGGACACTGCAGAGTAATGCATATAGTATACTCCATATAAACAAGGATTGCTTAGGTTTATAAAAGAATTGTAAATTTTATTTATTTTTAAATATTAACAAAAAACTATTAACATTTTTATCTCTGTAGTTAAAACTAGAGAGGGAGATGGGGATATTGTTTACTTTTTTTATGATCTGCAATTTTCTGGCGTGTATTAATTTTGCAATTTAAAATAAACATGAATTAGGAACATGTGGTGTTGCAGGATAATGCATTGGACCATAAAGTCAGTTTGAACCACAAGGTCGGTGGTTCAAACTCACCAGCCACTCCTTGGAAGCCAGTCCTGTACAGGGTCGCTATGTGTCAGAACTGGCTTGGTGACATTCAGTTGCTCCTTGGAAACCCTATACAGGGTTGCTATGCATTTCTGAGGAGCAGCTGGTAAGCTTGAACCACACAGAAGAAGGATCAGTAGTCCACACAGAAGAAGGATTAGTAGTTGGAAAATATGAACTTTGGTGATAGAATTGATGCGGGAGTTCATATGATAGTGTTTTCCAAGACCAACAACGGCCCACTGCAAATGCCTTTTTTTCCGCAACATAAATGGTGGCTATATATGTGGACCTTGCAAGAATACATAGGAATCAAATTGACTACATCTAGGGGAAGAGAAAATTGAGAAACTCAATACCATCAGCCAAAAAAAGGCTAATATTCAACAGCAAAACAGGCCATCAGTTTTTCACATGCAAGTTCATGCTAAAAGCCGAAAGAAATTTAGATAAGTACAATTGAACCTAAATAGGACTTTCAGTGTATTTCACTTCAATTTTGAGTCCATCTCAAGAACAGATTTCACCCACTGAAAACCAATATACAAAAACCAGAGTAGTTATGGGATGATATTAAGAATATCATACCTAAAGAAAGCAAAATTTCATTTAAAAAAGGAAAGAAAGAAAAGACCAAAGTGGATGTCAAAAAGGACTCAGAAACATGCTCATGAGTTAAGAGTAGCTAAAATTAAAGGAAGAAATAATTAAGTAAAAGAGCTGAACAAAAATTTTCAAAGGGTAGATTGATAAGATAAAGTAAAATATTACAATGAAATGTGCAAAAATATAAAGTTAGAAAAACAAAGGGCAGAACATGTTCAGTATTTCTCAAGCTGAAAGAACTAAAGAACAAAAATAAAGTTTCAAGTAGCAGTATTGAAAGGTTGTAATGGAAGTCCTGTTGCTATGAGTCAAAATTGAATTGACAGGACTTAACAAATAAACTATAGGAAACATATTCAATAATGCAGAAAGCATCAAAGGAAGATGGAAGAACTACAGAGTTCTGGTACCAAAAAGAATTGATTGACACATTCAGTTATTTCAGGTGGAAGCATATGATCAAGGACCACTGATATTGAAAGATGAAGTCCAAGCTACACTGAAGGCATTGACAAAAAACAAGGCTCAAGGAATTTACAGACTACAAACTGAAATACTTCAACAACAACAGCACTTACAAGTCAATGCCAAGAAATTCAGAAATAATAAACTAGAAAAGATCCATATTTGTGCCTAGTCAAAAGAAAGGTGACCCAACAGAAAACAGAAGTCATTGAACAATATCATTAATATCACATGCAATCATTCAAAAATTTGATGTTGATTATTCAAAATCAGTTGCACCAGCACATGGATGGGGAGTAGCTAGAAATTCAAGCTAGATTCAGAAGACAATATGGAAAGAGGAATATCAGTGCTGACATCTGATGAATCTTGTCTGAAAGCAGAGTATACCAGAAGTTCTATTTGCTTGTATTTTTCTGATTATTCAAAAACTTTCAACTTTGTGTATCATAACAAAGTATAGATAAATTATAGAACATTTAATTGTGCTCCTGTGAAAACTGTGCATAGACCAAGAGGCAATCTTTACAACAGAGCAAGGTGATATTGAATGATTTAATATCAGAAAGAGTGTCTGTCAGCATTGAATCCTTTCACCATATGTTATTGGCACAATGATAACAGCAATGGTCTCAAACGTAGCAATGATTGTAAGGATGGTGTAGGGTTGGGCAGTGTTTCATTCTGTTGTGCGTAGGTCACAATGACTCAATGGCACCTAACACGAGCAACATTAATCTGTATGTGAGCAAATAGTCTTAGAAGCTGAACTATATGAAAAAGAACATGGCGTCAGAATTGGAGGTAGGCTCAATAACAACCAGGGATATATAGATGCCCCAACCTTGCTTGCTCAGAGCAAAGAGGATTTGAAGCACTTACTGATGATTAAAGACTATAATCTTAAGTATCAATTAAAATTCAATATAAAGAGAACAAAAATACTCAGAACTGGTCCAATAAACATCATGATAAATGCAGAAAAGCTAGAAATCCAGAATTTCATTTCACATGGATTGACAATCAGTGCTCATGGAAGCAATGGTTAAAAAATCAAATGATACATTATGGAAAATTTATACAAAAGTCCTCTTCAAAAAGCAGATACCACTTTGAGAACTAATGTGTGCCTAACCCAAGCCATAGTATTTTCAATCTGATCACATGCATGTGGAAGATTGACAATGAATAAGGAAGATCAAAGAATTGATGCATTTGAATATGGTACTGTGGAAGACTACTGAAAGTACCCTAGACTGCAGAAGAGCAAACAAATCTGTCTAAGGAGTATAGCCAGGATGATCCTTAGAAACAAGCTTGGCAAGACTTGTTTCCATGAGGGATCAGTGCCTGCAAAAGAGCATCATACCTGGTAAAGGAGAAGGTCAGAAAAATAGAGGAAGACTCCCAAGGAGATGGACTGACACAATGTTTACAACAATGGATTAGAACAACAATTGTGAGGATGCTTCAGGCCCATGCAGTGTTTAGTTCTATTGTGTGTAGGATCACTATGAATCCCAGCCGGCTTGGTTGCACCAAACAACAATAACAGCAATATCACTTTAGAAATGTTTACCTATTACCCTCCAATTGATAATGGCTCATGGCAACCCCATATGTTAGATAGTAGAACTGCTTCATCTGTTTTTCACCGCAATAATCTTTATGGAAGGAGCTCTGGTAGTGTAGTGGTTGCAAATCGGGCTGTGAACTGCAAGGTCAGCTGTTCGAAACTACCAGCTGTTCCACGGGAGAAAGATGAGGCTTTCTGCTCCCATAAAGATTTACAGCCTCGGAAACCCTGTACAGGGTCCCTATGAGTCGGAACCGACTGCACGGCACCCAACAATCTTTATGGAGACAGATTGCTAGTCTTTCTTCCCAGGCACCACCATTGTGTTTGAACCACCAATCTTTAGTAGTACAGCACAAATCATTTGTGTCACCTGGGGACCTTTCAACAATTTTCAGAGGCATTTTGACAAAAATCTTTCTTTGAGGAAGGAACTGTCCAGTTATTGCTGTTATGTGCTGTCGAATCAGTCCCAATTCATAGTAACCCTGTATAGGGTTTCCATGGAGCAGCTGGTGGGTTTGAACTGCCAAACTTGTGGTTCAAACCAACTTTGCAGTCCAGTGCTTATTCTACAGCACCACAGAGGACTACTCTAATTGTTTTTTTAAGTCTACTTCTGTCACAAAATAATAGGAAATAGAAAATAATAGTTTTCAAATCTCATACCAAAATAGTTGCATGTTAATGTATTATGTTGATTTAGTTTTCTAGACCTGATTCTTGCAATGTAGATTCTTATTCAATTCCTTAAATCCAAACAGCATAGTGCAGTATCTTAGAGCATAGAGTTTGAGCAATATCAAATCTCCATTTTTTTTTCTCTTTAGTAATTTGACTTTTCTGAGTTTCCTCATTCATAAAGCAATGATAACAAAACTTAGTGAGATAGTCATGATGAAAGAGAAAGTGCATAGAAAGTGCTCAGCCTCAGTCTCTAGGATTTAATAAGCATTCAATAAATGAAAATGACTTCCTCTTGGGATTTTGTTCAAACTTCATGGGCTACATACTTAACTTTTTATAGCATTAAATATATTTAAGTTATATATGAGGAGTGTTTCTTTAATTGACATAAAACTGAAATTTAGAGTTAAAAAAGAATATAGAGAAGGTTATACAATCCATGGAGTCCTGGTGTGGCGCTGTGAGTTCATGCATCAGACTGCATAGCCATTTGAACAGCAAGATCAGCAGTTCAAGCTCAGAAGCTGCTCCTCAGAAACCCTATACAGGGTCGCTATGTATTGGAATTGACTCCAAGGCACTTAACAAGAACAACAATACAATCCATAGAAGGAATTTAGAGTTTTATGGTGGTTATGATTTGCACTAACTGAATCCTGTCTATTTCACTTTTTCATATTCAAGGACGATCAAAATATCATCAATTGTCATTTTCTTTGTTATAGGTCTTATTCTTATAACACATGTTGATCACATAATCATAGCTATAATCTCTTTAAATTTAACTAATAGAAATAACATACCTCTATGCTCTTACTAGATAGATTGCCTGTCTAACATCTAATATTCTTCTTCTCTTCTTCTTGTGCAACCTTTCCTTGGTACCAGCGGCTGCTTCTAAGAGTAAAGTTAAAGGTGAGCTTCTTTCTATTTTGCATGATTAACCACGATCTCTTTTGCTGCTTAGTCTACTAAGCCCTCTTAATAAATGGAGTAATTTCTGTCGGTGATAGTAAGAGTTCATTGTATAGATATTTTAAAATATATGAACAAATACAAAATACATCCTATTTCAAGGATTCCATTTCTGATACATAAACTTATGTTTGCATGGTCGATTGATTTTATTTTATATTGTTATTTGTCTGTTTGCTTCTTTTATCTCCCAGTTTACTTTACAATAAAGTGCTTTGTGCATTAACATTTGGCTGTTGACCTTAGTTTTCTTGATATAATTCAGAACTGGAAAACTATAGCAGAAAGTAAAACTGATGGAAAGTCACAAAATTGAACACGTCTTCAAAAAATTAAGTGAAAAGTCAATTTTTCCCTTTTAAAAATTGAGTATTATATTGTGCAGTTTTCTATTTATAACATTTCCTAGTTTTAGAAACCAGAAAATGTATTTTAATTAAAGAGGATGAGTTTATTCAATACATGAATGTCTCCCATAATGGAAAAAATTGTTCCTTGATGTACTTAAGCCTTTTTGCTTTTAAAATCACATATATATATATATATATATATATATATGATATTGTATCTTTGGATTATTGTTTATAGGTTTTAGTTTCACACTCTTTAGCAAGTAAACCTTGAGGAGTCCTGGTGATATACTATGATAAAGCACAAGTCAGCTACTCAAAAGGTTGGTCATTACAACTCACTAGCTGCTTCTTGAGAGGAAACTTTTGGCAATCTTTCATTAAGATTATAGCCTAGGAAATTGGAAACTCTGTGAGGCAGTTCTACTCTGTCACACAGGGACAGAATTGACTTGGTAGCACACAATAACATTGTATATACATATATGTATTTTGTTGTTAAGTGTCATCAAGTTTATTCTGACTAATAACGACCCTGTATAGGGTTTCCTAGGAGCTGTTGGTGAGCTTGAACAACAGACCTTGCTCTTCAAACTGACCTTGCAGTCCAGTGCATTAACCCACAAAGACACTGCTTATATACATATTGTTGTTGTTGTTAAGTACTGCTGAGTCAGTTCTGACCCATAGTGACCCTCTATAGGGTTTCCAAGGAGCGCCTGGTAACCTTGAACCACTGACACTGTGGTTCAAACAACTTTGCAGTCCAGCACATTAATCCACAGAGCCACACCAAGAACATACTCTCTCTTTCTCTCTTTTTCTCTCTCTCTGTATAATATTTGTGTATTTGAAAATAGCGTCTCCTTTATGCTCTATAACAATTTATTTTACTGTTTCCACATGCACAAAATACAGATCATGATATGAACTTCAAAATTTTGCTAGCGTGTGTAAACTAATCGTACAATTTCTGGCACTAGTATCATTTTAACAAATATTCTTTCTTTTTTGTTTGTTTTTTCCCCAACTGCCTCTTCCTTAGGATTAGGCTTCCCACTTACTGTATTTCAATATTGCCTGCCCAATATTTCCCATGTGTGCTCAAGAAGCATGACCAAGTGATTTTCTCCTCCTTTTCCATTTCACATATTCAAGTGTACCACAAAGTCACTTTTCTTTATAATCTCTCCCCCACTAACCCCACTCCCTTTGTTTCTAGTTTCAACACTCTGACTTAGACAAAACTTTGAATTATTAACTGCTCCCTTTTTAAAGATCAATTCTTTATTAAACAACTACTATTTCCTTAGCAATAGTTTCATTTATTAGGCTAGTCATAATACAAATGACATTATATTTTTAGCATTTTTAGCCTAGTATCTTACTCCAAAAGATGTGATAGAAGAAATAGGCAGTATTTACCACAGAAACATTCACAGAAAAATTAAACAATTAATTATAAATGTATACATATGGTGATAAGTATATAAGCATAATATATTTCTATGATTAAAAAGTCAAGAAGTTCAGTTCTAGGACTGGGGTATTAAAACCCATATTGTTGGTGCTATTGAATGCCATTGAATTGGTTCTGACTCATAGTAACACTTTATAGGGTTTTCAGGAGTCGTAGTGTGGTGCTATAGGATAAACACTAGACCACAAGGTCAGTTTGCACAAGTTTGGCAGTTCAAATCTACCAGCTGCTCCTTGGAAACCCTATACATGGTCTCTATGAGTTGAAACTGACTCAATGGCACTAAACAACAACAAACAATAGGGTTTTCAAGGATTGACTGGTGATCTTGAATCATTAACTTGAACTTGCTATTAGCAGTCCAGTGCTTACCATACAGTGCCATAACAGGACTCTAAAATCACATATAGTTATTTGTTGTTCATAGAATAAATAAGGTGATTATAATGAGAGAAAGAAAGAAGCATGTATATTGGTGCTGGAATCCTTAAAATTGCTTTATCTGAGAGGTGGCGATTAAATTAGTCCTTAAACAATGAAAAGGTTGTAGTTAAAAAGTTGGAAAACATTAGAAAACATAAATAAAGGTTTGGGAGCAAGAAGGAGTATACAGCATTTCAGAACAATGGAGGGACCTTGAGTGAAGTTCTGTGTTTTTATGAGAGCAGACGAAAATAAATCTCACAGTAATGCAATGGGCAATGGAGTGATCATGGATCATTACTGTGCTTGATCACATAAAACCTCTAGAACTAAGCTCATCTATATTCATACAATCTTTCTTTTAAACAATGAAACTCATTCAAAATATAAAATGTGGGGAGAAATCATTAAATACAGAAAAGCCATTTCACCATCGAAGTGTTACAGCTATAAATTAAATTACAGGTGTTTGTCAAGTCACATCAGGACTCAAGCTAGACAGACATCTGCAAAGAAAACATATTTGTGACCAATTTTGTGTATCCCAAGTCTCCATATCAATTGTTTCCCAACTATCCATTTTATGGAATCTGTTCTGTGGTGGTGAGAGAGATGGCTTTAGGGCATAGTTTACCCAATGAATCTACAGCAAAATGGAGATAAAAAAATAAAATAAAATAAAATGATACTTTATAAAATAAAATGTACCTCTTAAAATTGAATTGAAATTTTATTCCTAATCCTTGCTAGAGGCAGATGTATATTATGTAGAAATAATAGAATTACTCGATGTAGCTATTGCCTACTTTCTATGTCAAAGCAAATGGCCTTCAAACTGGGAAACAAATGTGGATTAGGAAGAATCAAAGCTCGAGATAACATAGGAACAGATGGCTATTTGAAAATAACTGTTTCTCCTGGCCCCAAAAATTACAATCAAGGAAACCTAGGGAGGTTTTGGATGGTATCATATCCTATTAATTTGCCCTATGATGCAATTGGGAGCTTCTGGAAGAATGGGGAAAGGAAGGCAACCTGATTTATTTTTAAGGGAAAGGATTCCATACTAGAAATCCAGACTGGTGAATTTGATATAAATCTCCAATAATTTTTGTGAAACAAGCATTTGTGAGTGTTTAGATTAGGATAGTATTCTATAGGTAGCAGTATTTATTGATTATAACATAGAAAA